ATTAAAAATAAAAAATAAATAATTAAAATTTTACGTAAATATAATACATAAATTTTGTAGATAAGTAAATCTATATTTTTTTTGTTATTTCATTAATCATATTTTAATAAATGTATAAAACAAATTACATTTTTAACATACAATTTATCATGTAAAATATTTTTTTTAAAATATTTAAAGGTAAATTCATATACTAATAAAGTTTACTCCTCCTTCTTAAATAGTCATCCCAAATTGTTCACGATTCACTCTCAGAGCATGATTTCCAGATCTACCTAAAAATAAGAAAATCACAGCAAACATCCAACAAATTCAAACAAGCACACAGCAAACTTAAGAGTAGGGATGTTAATATCTTATTCAATCCGATTGATTCAAGTTAAACTAATCCAATCCAATCAAAAATCGATCCAAATCAATATAAAATTGGGTTGGTTTAAATTATAAAATTTTAAAACTGATATAATTGATTTGATTTGTGATTTTATCTTCAAACCACCCGAACTGCCCGAATACAAAATAAAATCTGATTATAAGATAACTTAATTAAATAATATAATATAATTTTTTGTAGTATTTTAAAATTTCTTTTTTTATTTATTTTACAAGATAATAACTTCATTAATTTAATTAAAAAATAAAAATAAAACATCTTCGTATTCCTTAAGTTATTTTTTTATTTTAATCATGCACCCTAACCTAATTCTAAATTTCTATAATTCACCTCTAACTCTATCCTCTAAAAATTGGTTTGCACCTTTACTTTTAGAATCATGAATTTTTAATTTGTTCCTAAAATAATATTATGATTCTTCTAACGAAATTTTAAAAAAATATTATTCTAAAAGTCTTAAAAGAGTATTATTCTAAAAGTTTTAAAACAATATAATAAATTTAATCTTGATATTCTATTATTATTAGATATTTGGTTTAGAAATTTTAAATTTTGATTATAAATATTTCTAATTAATTTTAGTGATATTTATGTTAAATTTTATCTATTTTTAACATGATTTAGAAGATGTGATTAAATTATTAGTGCATTAAGAAAAAAAATTAATTTTAACCTTTAAGAATTATTTACGCTGTACTAGAAACTTGAAGTTATCCTTTATTTGTTTTGGTTAAATGCTAAATTTGGTCCCTTAACTTTAAGAAATGCACATTTTTGATCCCTCAACAATTTTTTGCACTTTTTTAATCCCTCAACTCTAACAAATGCACACCGTTAGTCCTTCTGTTAATTTTCACCGTTAACTC